CGAGGAGGAATAACGGAGCTGAAAAGGAGGCGGTCACGCATCTCTCCTTCACAACGTGGGGACTGCCTAAAGAACGTATATTAGCCCATGATCGGAGAAAGTAGAGAAAATGGACTTGCCTAGCCAAAGGTGGGAGCTTTCGAATGAGGTCACGATAGCTCAGATCCTTGCGACTGAGTTTTGAAAGGGTCTCTAGGATTGCTCGAGTAAAATCCCCTTGCCCGGCCCTTTCATAAGCTCTTTCGCTTGCCCCACAGGCGGCCAAGAGAACATGAGACGCAGTGCCTAGACGCCGAGAGGGTCCATCACCTGACATACAGTGGGCTTTGAAGATATCATTATCTATCTCGTCTAGGAGAGGCTTTGAGAGAGGGAGAGCTCTGAAGCGAACATCGTCATCGCCCTCTGGGGCCTCGCGAGTTATAGAGCCGGAGTGACAGCAATCGACAACTACGACCTACAAAGGACCAGATTAGACAGTTAAGATAGGTTCATATCGAGAACTAACAATGTTGTCTCCTTTGACCGACGCAAGGTGATCGAGCATTGTAGCCAAGCCCCTGTCCGTAATGACTTGGTTGTTCTTGCGAAAATCTTGCGGCAAGAGCATCTCAATCTCTGCATCTTAGATTTCCCAAGCTATAGGCGGTACCGCTCGACTACCATGTCCAGCATAGAAAATGAGAATAGGGTGATTGCGTTTGACTTTGCTACTGATGATCAACTTCTCAATTGCCCCAATAATCGAACCACGTGTCGCAGCTTCATTGTGAAGAGAGTGGATATTCGCGGAGAGAAACTCCTGGACGACATACGCTTCCATTTCCTGTGCATCCTTCACTGCGCCTCCGAGATGATCCTGGACGCGCTGATATCGATCTATCCCAATGAACAGTGCATGGAGTCTTGGAGTTTGACTAAGAGCTCGATCAGTATGATATACCGAAACTGGATGAGAGATACATGCCTCTCCTTTATATGAAGGGCATCCCGAATATGATGCAAGATACGTTGAAATTTATGTTCCATTTCTGGGCCTAGAGGTATTTTCGTGAGTAAGGAATTACTTGCGTCTAAAATATTACCAGACCTGACTAGTTTATATCATGACTGATCGGTTGAATTTTTTTGTTCTTTGGAATGGTCGACGGTAAATGAACTGAGCTTTGAGACACCATATCTCCATCTGAGAGCAATCCCAGATATACGAAAGGCTTCCATAGAAGGTGTCAGACATGAAGTTCCGTCGGAACTGTAGGCAAAGCAGGCGCTAGCCAGCCCATTAGGATTGACGAATAGATGTAGAGAATGGACCAGAGACCCCGATCAACCAGTCAGAGGTGGCGAAAATTGTTTTTCCTGGCCAGTGCGGGTATAGATACTGTTGCACTGGAGCCAGTACAGCATCCCATGAAGACTAATTCATAGATTTCAGCCTGTGCAAGCGCTTGAGTGAGTTACTTTTTTTGATATTGATGAAGGCCAGGAGTTGGTTGGGTGTCAAGCTGGTTCACTTGCCACCGAGTCATTTGTGTCAGAGTATAATATGTGGACCAGCAATTATTCAGATATCAACGGTCTCGTCTATTGATAAGCCACTAAATAGCCGGTTAATTAAGAATTCAGTAACAGAAACAAGAAGACAGCAAACAGACTTCGCGCCTATATAGAGTGCGTATATAGAAAGCACCGCATCGAACATATGCTACTAAAAGATTCATTCTCTTCTTACAATTACAGATATTGACCTAGTGTCCCATTCATCCACATGAGTCAAAGTATGGTGTGTCACTACACGGTACCCCCCACCAAAGGGAGATTCTTGTACCATGAAAGAGAGATTCGCCGGTTTTGTAGTCAGGAATATTTTAAAGATACTAATATCCGTGTCTTGTGCATCCCGGGTTACTTTCCCTTCTTGCCTGATAGCTTCATCCGGAACGTCATGACTCCATGGTGCTACACCTCCGGTCCCGTATCCAATCGTGACGAAGCCACCAGAGGGGAGTGGAGGGTCCGCATCTTTTAGGCCGACAGTCGAAGGCCAATATAAGTACCCTGCATACGAAATGAGTTAACTAGGATCGGAACAATGGGTAAAATGACACTTGCTAATGCTCAGGTCACTCCGCTCGAAAACGAATACGTGAGGATAAAGATTAAGCATCGAGTTGTTTGTGATCTTGATTCCATACAGAGTATCTCCAGAAGTTACCTCGACCCTACCGTCTTTGCAAAAGCATTCCCCATCCGGAATGTGCGGCCCATAGCCATTGGCCTTTAGACGTATAAAGCTTATCTCGACGAAAGTCTCAAGTGGACTGTTCGACGGGGCGAGGTTTAATAACCTGTCGAAATGACAGGCTGCGTCAATAGCTCTATGGATGGTCTTGATTTCTGTCGGGTTGACTCGATATGGCAGTCGAGCCAAGCCCATCCCATCAAGGTTGTAACTGAAGACGACATCGCCACCCTCCACATCCACTCGGATAGAGGCGTCCTTGCTGGAAACAAATGAGTACCGCTGTAAATGTGAGCTATCGGCGGCCATTTCTCGTGCTAGTAGATTGCGAACTGCAGCGAGATCCGGATGATTTGCAAGATAAACATCCACGACCTTTCTCTGAGTTGCATAAGCAGGCAATGTGATTGCCATAGTCGGGTCTGCAAGCGTGGAGCGGCGTGTCTCTACTTTCCGAACGGTCAACACCCCAAGACAACGACTATTCTTGTCCGGTTCTTGGAATAGCACAAACTCGGTGGACTTGGTCACTCCATGAGCCATGCCCATATTCACTACGAGCTTGTCTTCCTCCCACTGCACCTCGACAAATGAACGGTCTCGAATGGGAGGTCTGGGGTCGAATAGGAAACGATCTCGATTGTCTCCTTCACACCGTGGGGATTGCCTAAAGGATTCATGTCATGGAACGTTTGGGAAAAGGTCGAAGAGGTAGACTCACTCGTCCAAATGAGGAAGTTCCCGAATGATGTCTGAATAGGTCAAGGTTTTTCTGCCTAGAGTCGATATAGTTTCCAGTAGCACTCGTGTAAACACGCCTCTCCCTCCTACTTCATAAGCTCGCTGCTTTGGCCCACAAGCGGCTAGGAGAACATGGGATGCATTGCCCAAGCGTCGAGAGGGTCCGTTATCCTCCTGCGAGTGGGCCCTGAAAATGTCTTCGTCTACGTCGTCTGGGAGTGGCTTGGTGACTGGCATATTCCTGAGGCGCCGGTCGTCACTCGTACTACTCTGCTGGACAGTCCGGGTCATGGATCCAGAAAAGCAACAATCAAGGATTATAGTCTGCTCACGAGATGATTAGATAAGATGAATTTGCTACTATTGATTACTGACTATGTTGTCTCCTTTGACTGAAGCGAGTTTGTCGAGCAATACCGCCATCCCTCGGTCCGTAATGACGTTGTGGTCACCATCATAATCCTGGGGTATGATCATCTGGACGAGCGAGTCTTCGATATTCCAGTTTCTAGGAGGTGCCTTCTCGCCGCCATGACCCGCATAAAAGATTAGAATGGGGTCTTGAGGTTGAATCGTGGCATCCTCGATTAGGCGCTCAAGTTCATGGATGATAGAACGGCGCGTAGCCTTTTCATTGTAAAGGCAAGATATTCGGGAACTTGGTACCTCTTTCTCCAAGTATCCCCTCATGGCTACTGCATCGTTTACGGCACCAGCGAGACAATATCTCGTGTCACGGTATCTGTCTATCCCTATGAGGATCGCATGGAGGGTGCTAAAACATCTTTAAATGTGGTTACTGCGTTGAATCAAAGTATGCATATGGGACGTACTCGTTGTTCGTGGCTCCAGACTTGGATGCTAGTTTCGTAGAAATGGCGCCCGTGCTTGAGCTTGGCTTGCCCGAGGCCTTTTTCTTCTTGAATAATGTTTTGAATAATTTGATAAACTTTGCACCAATTCGAACCATCCGTGCGGCCGAGTTCGTGTCCAAGGTTTGTTTTGTTGAAAGGCGGGGCGGCGCGCAACACGACTTCAAAGGATTTTTATGGGAATGCAGCTGGTCAGTAGACCCATAAATGGCAATAGTGCAGTTGGCCTTGCTAGCTTCCGCCCTCTTCCAAATCGCCATGAATAATGCTGGCAAGTTGGGCTGACAGGTACGGTGATCGCTGCGCAAATTCACGGATAACCTTCGGAAAGAATAGCAGGAGGCATATGCATTCGATTCAAAAGAGTTGGAAACCAAACGGCGTGTTTGCAGAACCAGCTGAGGAGTTCAAGGCCAACCAGCTGGGTGCGACGATCCGGTGGGACGGTGCAAGCTTTTGATTCTTCTCCCTTCTGCATCTGTTAGGTGCGAGAGATTTGAAAAGCCTGCATTTAAAGTACCGTAGATTCAACACAATGGGTGTTTTCCATCGCTGGTCAGGCTGCCCTCAAGCTTATACCATGTCAATCCAGATGCCGGCGAGGTATTCAGCCGTAGGTGGAATTAACTTCCTACGAAGTTTCTGCACTGAATGACGTAGCACTTCTACCACCGAACGCATTCGAACTATCTCCAGTGCCGGGCGACTGTCATCGTGAAGAAGAGCAGTCGGGGTCGTCGGGGTAGATGACACCCAGTTTCCTTTGCCGGGCGATATGGCGAACTCAAAATACCGGTTTTGTTCATTGTAAGACCGCAAAGTTTTACAACAATAGAGAATAGGCGAGCTACATATTCGAGCCTAGAAATACAGGGTACAGTTATAAATTCTTCAACCTTATCCATCACTCTTGCTCTTCATGTGTCATCCACACACGTTCAAACGGGCAAATTAGCAGTGGTACAGTTAAGTGTTCCAGTTTCTCTTTATCTTCTTACTAACACGGTGATCGACATGAGCGCCAGTCCCTCACCGTTACAGCCATATCTCTTTGTGGGCAAGGAAGAAGCTTCGCTTCATGTCGATGTGGAAGGGAATTATGTCACCTTTACCAATTCATACATTGATATTCAGCTACCAGAACCATTTCGGATCCCTTACAGAGTCAAATTGGGAGAGGACCGGATCGTCAATAACGTTATCTATGCTGCCAACGAATTTAATAGGTTATTATCTCTTTATCCGGAGACGAATGACCTTATTAAAGACGTCAAAATGGAATTCCTCAAGCTACCGAGAGGGAAAGATCAAGCTTCTAGGCCTGCTGTCCGATTGGTGGGTGAAGAAAATCTTTGCATTGACGGCAAGGTCGACATTATCTCCAGAAAATCCTCGTATGGAATCAGAATCATCAATAACTCGTCCATGAAATTGTATCCTCACTTATTCATGTTTGACTGCAGTGAGCTCAACATTGGCAAGTGATCTCTATCTGAATATTGCATTCTCAATGGTCTCATTCCGACTCTAGAGTATGTATACAGACCTCCAGATATCGTCAATATCGATAAGGACGCTCCTCTTCCGCCTAGGGGTTACCTTGCTATTGGTTTCGAGGGGCAGGGGAGGGCATGGGGTCATACCGTTAGGAACAAAGAAGATCACCCGGAATTCGTTCAAGACGCACAGGATCTGGACGTTAACGTCTTTAAATTATTTCTGACCACTCGACCTGGGGATCTGTCCTCCTTCGAGCAAAAGTCGCCTTTCAATACTGAACCCAGTATCCGTCGGAA